TCTATCTATCTATCTATCTATCTATCTATCTATCTATCTATCTATCTATCTATCTATCTATCTATCTATCTATCTGTCTATCTATCTATCTAATATAGATAGATAGATATACCAAAGCGTTATTTAAACTGTAGTTGTCTTCGACGTGTACAACGGATATTTAAAATAAAATCTGATATGCTTACCACATTCATTACATGAAGTATGATACTAACCTTAGCCAGTCCAGATCCAGGGAAGTTGTAGGGCAGAGAGAAAATATTCTCAGTGAACACAGTGAAGAGCTCCACAAGAGCATTGTGATCTTCTGTTGGCAGACTAATCCCTAGAAGGGTCTCACAAGACAAGGCGAAGGTCATACGTTTGCTCTCGAGATAACCCATTACAGAATCTTTGGAACACCACGTCTTTATTCGCTCACGCACCGTCTGAGAAAGAGGGAATACATGAATCTTGTTCAGTACATGTGGGGAAGAAAATATCGACTTCTAATGTGAAACCAATTTCATAGAGAAAGCTGGGGTACCAGCCACAACGACATTCACAGCAACAGGGCGTTTTGTGTAATCGTCGATCACATCTTGCTATCCCCATATTTTGACATAGGAGGAACACATACCAAGAAACAACCCCTTATATAAAATAGGCAAACAGATAAGAAAACTTAACTAAAACAAAGCACACAGAAAAGAAAGTCAAAAGCCATAAAAGGCACAGAGTATTTCCTGAAGTACATATTAAAAAACAGTGGGATAAGATTAAATCAGGAACGGACTCGAAGTCTCCTTGTTGAATTACCCCCCTCCCCCCTCCTTCTTGCTCACGAATTTAACAGCGATTAATACAAATTATCTAGAGGGGAGATCAACCTCCCTTATAAAAAAAAAAAGAAAGTGGGTGGTTGGCGTGTGCTCTGGTGTGGTTTGCTCCTTCTTTCCTATCAAACATATATCGTCCTTATCTCCCCTTGTTCTTTTTTATGTTTGTTACTCTCTTGTAACACCTCTAATCTTCTGACGCTCATATGACCTGATGCAGTTGCGAGTGCTGTAAAACCTCTACTAAAACTAAACTAAAACTAAAACCTCCTTCCCAAAGGAAGGAAGTACGGCATAAATGTCGATCTGTGGCTGTGCCCAATACCCCGCTGTCGTTCAAATCAGATAAAATACACACAAAGTCCCTAAAGAATTAAACAATCAAACAACAAATAATCAAAAGAACAATAAACCAGGCTCACCCTCTGAATCATGGCCACATACCCCCTCTACCGAAATAGTAGTTTAAATTTTTTTTAAAGACTCAAAGAGTTAAAAAAAATAAATAAAACAGAAACCAATACAAAAAACAAACAAACAAACAAACACAGAAAAAAAACATCAAAAGAAAGAAAGAAAGAAAATAAAGAACAAAGCCAGGCTCACACCCTGTATCATGGCCACATTTCCGAAACAATAATATAAACAAATTACAAAACAAACAAACAAACAAAACAACAAACAAAGCACTCAAATAAAAAAAACAACAACAACAAAAACAACAAATAAACAAACAACACACACACACACACACACGCACAAAAGAGAGAGAGAGAGAAAAAAAGAGCAAAGCCAGACTCACCCTCTGTATCATGGCTACATAGCCCTCCAGAGCCTCCCCACTGAAGGCCCTCTGTAGCCCCCTCCTCCTGCTCCTGTGCACCTCTCCGGCCGCTGTGGCAACGCTGTGTGAGCCAAGCAGTATCTGTACGCTCCGCGGCCAGTAGGCGCTCACGAGGCTGTGCTCGTTCATCAGAACCTGGGTAATTTCATGATCGGATTAAGATGGTAGTTTTAGTACGAGTTTTACGGCACTTGTGGCACAGTAAGGTCATATATAAGTGCCGAAGATTGGAGGTGTTACAAAGGAGTAACAAACACAAAAAGAGGAGGAGAGATAAGGACGGTAGACGTTTGAAAGGAAAGAAGAAGCAACCAACACCAGAGCACCCGCCAACCACCAGCAATTAAGATGGTACTACTGACAATGTAATAAAAACAAATAAAACACTAATATCAACGTTAATAAAATGTATTATTGTTAGATATATCAGAATAGTAATGATAATGATGAAGGCAACCAACCCCTCCCCCAAAACAACAACAGCAACAACAAAAACAATGGCAAAAGTAATAACAACAAAATGATGTAAAAAATCTGACTATAACAACAATAATACAGACAACAATACTAAGATAATAATAATAATAATAATATTAATAATAAAA